AGTATGTCATATTAACCGTCTCCCTTGCCCCCCCGAAAAAAAATCCTGGCTATGCCGCTGAAAACATTAGAGGGTATTGAAGTGCGTCGTAGAATCTGTCTATCCGTTGTAGTCGATTATCGTGGCTTTGAATGATAATATCTTTTTTTTTTAAATAGCTGCCCAACTATTACTAAACCTTCTTCATTAGCCGTTGTGTTCATCAGCACGTTTTTTATCGGCGTTAATCACCAAMTTAAAATTAGTAAAATGTTGACTTGCATTCTCTACGGTGATTTTAAATTCTCGAATATACTTATTTTCAGTGTGCAGCATATATTGTAGCTGTTTGACTAATGGTCGTTTAGCTTCTGGATAAAGAGAACATCTAAGTTGAACTTATTTTTCATCTTCGCTAACAAAATATATTTGTACAAATTTTGGTTTTTCCATACTGTTTTGAATCAAACTGTCAAACAAATGGTATACTTGGTCTTGAACTTTAAAAAATGGCATAAAACCTTCCTCGACAACTTGTTTAGCACCAAACGATATCACTTGAAAACAACCGTTATATTTCCTTGTACGATTAATGAAATGATCGTGATCAGAATGGTTACCCATGAGTAAATTGCGCAACGGTTCTGGTGGCTGCAGCAAGATATCGAGTTTTGTTTTATCTACCTAAATTGTAGCACATGCCAGGTTAAAAAATTTTTTTAAATGCCTTTCCATTTGAGAGCGTTACAAAATTTACAATTTTAGTTCATAGTGCCAATGTAATTTTTATAATCAATGTCATATGCAAGACCAGTTAGTTTAATAATTTTCCATTTGTGCAATGGATTTTCAGACCAAAAAATGTTTTCTCGTCATTTTTTTAGCTTCCTTGACTTGGTTGCTTCAAGGTCTATCTGTACATCTAGCACGACAACGCTTCTTATTTTTATTAATTAAATTAYCTGTGACACTAACATTATTACAAATAGACAAATCGCTCTCCGAAGTAAAAAAATACATTTTCTGTAAAATTTGGAATATTAAAAATAGATAAATAAACATAAAAATGCCCACTATTAATATTTCCGGTTAGACGCAATCTTTTTACTGGGAATGTATCTACACCAAATTTGGCATAAAAATTATTATTATAATACATTTCAAATACATATGGAAAAATATTGCCAGCAGCAAACAATTCGCAGTAACCAGCGTATACAGTAGGATTTTCCATATCATGAACCTTATCCTCATCAGTGGAAAATTTGTCACCAGTGACGGGTTACCCTACATACAAAGTAATCAGGTTATTGGATCGGCAAATTTGCCGCACTTAAAAAAAAAAATGTAGTTTGTAACGGTTCATATTTTAGATATATTTCCCTTACAAAAATATAAATTATAACAAGAGTTTGATATTAATAATATTAACATTTACTTAATAGTCTTTTCAATTAGATTTTTTTTTATACAACATACAATATACATATAATTACAATAGTTTCACATAAATAGTTTAACGTATACTCATACGATAGTAATACGTATAGGAATATAATATAATTCGCGATTTTAACAATCTATCATTCACAATTACAATAGTTAAGGTACTCACGGTTTTGCCAATTATAATAAGTAATCGTATGATTAATACTTATTAGAAAAGATGAAATAACAGTCTCTGTGGATACGAACGATGTTGCTTACTCTATCAGCGGCGGCGATACTAATGACACCGACAATAATCCTACTCGCGTAGATGCGGGTAATTATCTGTGATATATTCGATAGTGGCGGCGGTCTTTGTTTGATATACTCTGTCCGTYAAAATAATATTATTATTGATAATAGTATTAGACTCGCGTTTGCGGTATTGCTAATGACAGCCGTCGATACGTCCTAGCTTTCCCAACGGTACGGGTAGCCGAGAACGATCGCGGTTTTAAGAACGAAGGCAACGGGGCGATCCGCACGCTCTAACTTGTCCGTAGTTACGGGTAGCCGAGAACGGCGGCGGCTTGACTAGCGATGGCAACGGTGGTGGTTGGCACGTTCTAGCTTTCCCGTCGGTACGGGTAGCCGAGAACTGCGGCGGTTTGACTAACGGTGGCAACGGTAGCAGTCGTGGCGTAGGAAAACAGTCGTAGTAGTCTAGGCCGAGCGCTTAAGTGTATCTAGCCTCCCGAAAGGTGGCCGAGAGACACTGTTGCACTAGCCAGTCACTATTAGGACTGTTCCAATATAATAGGGGCGCAATTCAGACGTGCTCAAGAAAAACCCGGGACGCAATTAGTATTATATCTTTTTATACGGGACGCAATTCGTAAGCAGCGGGTTCAGGTTTACCACGTTGCCGGCAGTCTTTTTCCATATAATCCTGATGATAATAAATTTTTGCTGATTTATTTTATTCCCGATCCTGATACACAAGTATCTACACGATGTAACATAAATTCAAGAGAGATCTTCGACAGCGTATTAATGAGATCCCTACAAGACATGTTAAATACTCATAATAGACATGTAAAGTCTTTTAAAACAGCCATTGAAAGCGTTCCTTCTAATGTTACAGACTATAAATTGGTAATTCTCTCTAACAAAGTTCCGAATGGTGAACATCGCGGTCGTTGCAATGCTCCGTCTCCGAGTGATGTAGCCGTTATAATTACAGGACAACAATTCGACAAAAGAGATATTGTACTGTGATATCATGATGACAATCTTCAAATAATTTCTGAATTGCACCGATCTTACGACAGTCTTCAATATCCATTAATGCTCCCCTACGGCGAAAATGGATACTCGACAGATATACCTCAAGACGATCCTGTAACTAGAATTCCTACACAAAAAAAAGTTTCATGTATAAACTATTATTGCTATCGCATAATGGAACGCCACAACAATTCAAATCATTTACTTAGATATGGCATGTTATTTAACCAATATATAGTTGATCAGTATGCCAAAATCGAATCCGTGCGTTTGGCGTTTATGAGACACAATCAAAAGACATTACGTGGCTGAAAGTTATATTCATCTACAGGACGCGTTGCGCTCAAATGAACTAACTAAGCAATAACATTGAACAATTATTTATATTGCCATTAAGTTTTACGGGGGGACCGAGGTATCTTCACGAAAAAACACAGGTTGCAATGACTTATAATTTAAAAGTGATCTAAAATAAAAAAAATTATTTAACATTCAGAAGATAAATAGCAAATTAATATCTGAGAAATCTTGCAATAGCGAAGCATAGGAACTGTCATCAAATGATATCAGTTTTGACAAAAGTATATAAGATGAAGCTTTATTTGAATTAAACAAATAAGTGGACATTTTATCGGAAAAATCTTTAGTACATTTTGGTTTTCCTTTACCGATAAACATAAATAGGACAACAATTAATATTCAGTGTTTAAGAGAGAGAAATTATGATCAACACCAACTATTATTGTCCGTACAAAATTGAAATCAATTAAACAGAGAACAAATAATTGTATATGATTCCTATAGGCAAAATATTATTTTTAGATGCTCCTGGGGGCACGGGTAAAGATTTTTTGATAAATTTGCTTCTTGCAAAAGTAAGATATGGTGGAAAAATTGCTCTTGTTGTAGCGTCATCTGGCATTGCARCTACGCTATTAGTAGGGGGGCTAAACAGCTCATTCTACATTTAAACTTCCTTTGAAATATGATAGTGACGATACTACGAGTGTCTGTAACGTTACAAAGCAAAGTGATACTGGTAAATTGATGCAGGACTGTAGTCTAATTGTTTGTGACGAAGCGCCAATGTCCCAAAAGACTTCAGTTGAAGCTTTAGATAGAACGACGCGAGACTTGCGTTATAATAATAGTCCTATGGGTGGCTGCACAATATTGTTCTCTGGAGACTTTCGTCAGAAATTGCCTATG